TAGATTTGCACTCTTTAATGTTGCCTTAAACCAGGCTCTCCTCTCACATGAGGTCTATTTCATTGCCCTCTAATTGGTCTCTCTGTCTTTGTAAGCTTCAACACAAAAATCTGCTTGAATACTCTTTACAGAACATTAGACAAAATGTCTTACTTCCTTAATCTACAGTCTCTCTCCCCATTGCCAACAGGATATCATAGACATATTTTAATTCACATGTACACAGTCTTCCTCTTTCTTGCTCCCTGGACTTCTTTTTAAATCCCATTTCTAGCTGTATACCATCTCCAGATAACTACTTGTATGCCTAGAATGTACCTGCTGCTCCCCTTTCTCCAATTGTCTTGTCTATAATGTTCCCTACTCACTCCTCTCCAAATTCTTTTTTCCCCTTCAAGACCCATCTCAAAAGTCCTGTCTTCACTGAAGCCTTCTTTAATTCTTTCAGTCAATTTCTTGCAACATTAAAATGATAGAGCATCTTGCCTTTTTTTTCTGACTATTTATGACACTCAGTATAGCACAACTAGTTATAAGACAGAGTTCAGAGTTCCGAGACACATTTTGATATTTAATCCTGCACATAGATGATATATTCCTCGTGGGCAGTTAGTTGATAAATTCACAGGTATATTCAGTTGAGCACCATTTGTTTAGGTTTTGCTAACTGAACTGGTGTTCTCAGAGTTAGCTCTGGTTTGTTGTCAATGCAGCAGCCAGCCCTGAGTCAGCACGTATGTGATTTAATTAAAAGGCTATAAAACATGGATGTGAAGCTGTAATAAATAAGCTAATTCTATTTTTTAATATTTTTTCCCCTCTGGCTTTCTTGAACTTTTATTGCAGAAGTTAGTAAAGATTTGTGTATATTTTTGGTCCCCTTCTTTGCTAGTTTCCTAGTAAAGCTGTTACTTAGAAGGAAATAATCTTTTTCTCTTTGTAATCAATGTGAAAACGTTCCTCCTTACAATGGTACATGGGTACATGTTGTCCACAGCAGGATTTATATTTATATAGTTCTAAATTTCTTTCAGCATTAGAGCAAAATTCTTTTCTTTTATTTTTTGAGACAGGGTCTCACTCTGTCTCCCAGACTGGAGTACAGTGGCACCATCTCGGCTCACTGCAGCCTCTGCCTCCCAGGCTCAAGGGATTCTCTTGTCTCAGGCTCCAAGTAGCTGGGATTATAGGCGTGTGCCACTATTGCCCAGATAATTTTTGTGTTTTTAGTAGAGACAAGGTTTCAGCATGTTGGCCAGGCTGGTGTCGAACTCCTGACCTGAAATGATCCACCTGGGTCAGCCTCCCAAAGTGCTGGGATTACAGTCATGAGCCACCACACCTGACCCTAAAACAAAGTTCTTACATTACCTGGCAGAAGATTACTAGTAAGGGACTGAATGTTTTAGGTGATTATTTGAGAATAGGGCCTTCTTTTGGGAGTAACAACAAAATATGGTATAGCTTTTGGGGAGAAGTTGCCTTTTGAGACCAAAGGCAGGGCAGAACCACCCAGGGGTTAAGAACATAAATTCAGCAATGTTTTCTTACTTACTAGGCAGTGACTTGGGGAAATCTATTTCCTCTGAACTACCGCTGCCCCTCTTATGAAATGAGATGTTGTGAGGATGAAATGAGCTGATGTGTATAAATAATTAAAAGCACGGTACCTGTTACCTAGTAAGTAATAAATGGCAGTGATTGTTGTTAAAACATTTATAACAATAACAATCGGAATGATAATCTTAGGAAAGCCAGGTGAAACTGATTCTTGCCTTTGAGTTAGCCAGATGACCACACAGAAGGATTTGATTACAGTAGAAGTAATAAGACCCAAGCATACTTTATTTTATGAAATTATTGAAAAAGGAAAACTCTATTGATTATAGTCGATATTATTGCTAAGTCTGCAAGATGATATGAGAATGTAGTTTTTTGATAGTATTAAGTGGCTCATTGGGAAAATGCATGAAAATCTCCCCCTTTGCAAGTTTTGGGCTCAGACAAATCAAATTAAAACAATACTGTAAGGTAGGCAGGGAACATAGGGACCACACACATTTGGAAATACTGGCCTCAAATTTAACTGGCTGAATGGACACCTCTGACAATGAAACATTTTCATTGACTGTGTTATATATAACATCCCTCAGTTGGCCATGTGTGGTATCCTTTGTGAGGTCAGCAATGACATTATCAACAAGACAGAAGCACTGATAAGTCAATCAGTCATAACACTTACATCCAAGGGACCACCACGCTGCTGTCTGTGAGTTAGGCATGTGCATTGTTTAAGGTAAATAGAACTAGGACTATATTCTGTGTCCAATTGTCAGAGGAACCCAGTTAGTCTTGAGATAGCGTGCTGTCTGTTGGCTGCTAGGACTTCCATTGTTGTGTAATAGACACCCATGTGAATGTTTACAGCAGTACCTTGATTGGTGATAGTCAGCTATGACAAATGGGTACCTGCTAAGTTATAGTGTTTACTATCCCAGCAACCTAGGATATAAGGTTTTGCCTAGGGTTAATGCAATGATGAATGGAGGCCTCTATCTAGCATATACCAACTATCCTGCATAATTTAGGAAAGAGAAGATGGTTGATATAGCAAAGGGATGGTAAAGAAGAGACCTCCAGGAGCAGAGTACATGCTTGTGAAATATTTTCCTGGTAAGAATCTTTAAAAAATTTTTTGAGACAGAATTTCACTCTTGTTGTCCATGCTGGAGTGCAATGGCGCGAACTCAGCTCACCGTAACCTCCGTCTCCTAGATTCAAGCCATTCTCCTGCCTCAGCCTCTGGAGCAGCTGGGATTACAGGTGCCTGCCACTATGCCTGGTTAGTTTTTGGTATTTTTAGTAGAGACGGGGTTTCACCATGTTGGCCAGGCTGGTCTCGAACTCCTGACTTCAGGTGATTTGCCTACCTTAGCCTCCCAAAGTGCTGGGATTACAGGTGTGAGCCACTGCACCCAGGCTAAAAATTTTTTTAGAGACGGGATCTTGTTCTGTCTCCCATGTTGGAGTGCAGTGGCACAATTGCAGCTCACTGCAATCTCAAACTTGTGGACTCTAATCCTGGGAAGAATCTTAATTAAAAAGACAAGTTTTAGAATTTAGGAGTTTGTCAGAATGAGATCAGAAGAAAAAAATTTTAAAAATGCCACCAAATTTCAGTAATTTATGGTATTCCAAAATGAGTTTTCTATAGAATCATAATTATCAACTGTATTACAATTCTTTAGGATAATATGATAATAGATACAGTTTATTCAATATGAACTCAAATATTTAACTGTATATAATTTTTGTTGAGATACTGTTTTTTTTAGTATCCTGAGTTAAAACTACCTTTATAATAAATTATCTTCTTGAGTTGTGAGATATCAGTAGAATGTAAGGTGTGTTGCGCAGACAGGCCAGAGGTCCATCCATACAAGGAAATAGGGTAGTGGCTTCCCTGTTTTCCTGCCTTTGTGAAAGGAAAGTTTTAGACAGGTCAAATTCCTCAACCCTAGAAATTTTTTTAGTTGATCGCACAGGGTTATCTTTTTACATTTAACAGAGTTAAAGTGGAAAAAAGGATTTTTGGTGGAATCTTCATGTTTATGCAATCTTTTTAGTTTCTGAAAAAGTTAAAGAATAATTTTTAAGTCCTCAACAAAACTTTAGAAAATTTCATTATCAGTCCAGTTGTGGAAAGCAAGTGAGAGGAAAGGTAAGAGCTAAGATGATGCAGAACTTTAGAAATATTCAATGGAGTCGTGGCTCATGTTTGTAATCTTAGCACTTTGGGAAGCCAAGGAAGGAGACTGCTTGGGCAACACAGCGAGACCTTGTCTCTCCAGGAAAAAAAAAAAAAAAAAAAAAAGAAAGAAAGAAAGAAAAGAAAAAGATTAGCCATGCATGGTGGCTTGCACTGGTAGTATCAGCTACTTAGGAGAATCGCTTGTCCAGGAGTTCGAGTTTGAGTTTACAGTTAGTGATAGTTGAGCCACCACACTCTGGCCTGGGTGACAGAGCCCGACTCTGTCTCTGAAAAAAAGAAAGAAAACAATATAAATACAGTGAGCCACAAATATACATTGAGTGCTTGATCTGGAGGGTTTTCTCTTAAAATGTTGGTGTCATGCAACTCTGGCCAGAAGAAAACTTTTTTCTTTTTGTTAAGTTCCCCTAATGAAAGGAATAACAGTGGGTTAGATTGGTCAGTTTGTGAAAGCATCAAGGCATGATATTCTTTGACTTTTTCTCTGTAAAGTATACTCTTTTTTTTTTTTGAGACGAAGTCTAGCTCTGTTGTCCAGTGCGATCTCAGCTCACTGCAACCTCCATGTCTCAGGTTCAAGTGATTCTCCTGCCCCAGCCTCCTGCGTAGCTGGGATTACAGGCACCTGCCACCACGGCCTCCCACAGTTCTAGGATTACAAGCATGAGCCACTGTGCCTGGTCGACTCAATGATAGAAATATAACTGTGCTGGCTTTTGATTCTAGTGAAAACTTCATTAGAAAGGGAAAAATTTGGGAAGGGAGTTGTACCACAATTTGAATTAAACACTTGCCAAAGAACCTGAAGCAGTCTGATGTTTATTGTCTTGTTCTACTGGTTCTCCTTGAGGAGAGGATTAGGTGTTGAACAAATTTGCAAGTATAGCATGCAGTTTTGTCAAATACCCAATGACATTTCTTTTCACAGTTCTCTTGACTTTATACTGTTTAAATATCCTCAGTTGTCTCTTCATTTGCTTTTCTTTTTTTAATTCCTGTCAGATCAGAAAGTCACTTTTACATAATCACTCCCCTTGTCTAGACTTTTTTTGCTATTTCTTTTGAGTTGCAGTATACACATTGGTATGTTAGTAATTTCCTTACTTTATGTTTTCTTTTCTAGTTTAACATAGTTTCATAATTTACACAGTGTCTTTTTATTATTGGGATGGTTATGCGATAACCATCCCAATTAACTTCTTTTTGTTTCTTTTTTTTTCCTTTGTAGGCTAAGAAATGGCATTTCAAAAGGCAGTGAAAGGGACGATTCTTGTTGGAGGAGGTGCTCTTGCAACTGTTTTAGGACTTTCTCAGTTTGCTCATTACAGAAGGAAACAAGTAAGTAACTGTACTTGTGTTGATTACAGCATGCAACCTAAATCTGCTAAAGAACTGTCTATGGGAAGTGTGTGCACTAACGGTTTTGTTTAGAAATTACTTGCGAAGTTTCTCAGTTTGATCTGAAAGATACTAATTTAGAACATTGCCTTAATGATCCTGGAGAACTGTGTGTATCTCCTTTTTTAAAAAGTGAATTTCTTTTTCAGGAAGCATTATTTAGCCTCTGTTTTGGCTCTTTGGGTTTTAAAAGACTGCTTCATTTATGAGTGCCAGGGTTTCTTCATTTAGACTTTCCTTGTCTAATTCATCTAAATGTCTGGATACCTTCTATGTTCCTGCCAAAGGTTTGTCTTATTAGAAGGCAGGCAGCCGAGAAAGGAAATGGAAAAGAAAAGGCCCAGCTGATTCCTGGTTTTATTTCTTCAAGGTTTAGTTACTTACGAAGTATTACTTTGTATTACATAAAAATTTTAATGGAGGAAGGCCATGAAAATGAGATTGATATGAAGTTTCCAAATATTATTAAGTGTTCAGTTTATTTTCTTTTTTTTTCTTTGCATTATAACTGTGACTTCCCATAGTTCAAATTGATGCCAGGAAATAACTTTGCTGAATGGCTTTGTTCTTTTCAGGCTTGAAAGGCTGGCAGCCACCTTAGTAATTAGTATCAGTCTCTTGTTCCCCCTCTCCCATGTCATTAGGACATTTTGTGATACCAGCTGTGTAGTATATTTCTTTTTCAAAGATGAAGGTGAAGGAATTTTGCAAACCATTTGTAACTGAGTGGTTCATTTTATGCATTTTTGTGGTTGCCGTTAAGCCATGGTTTGTCTTATACTTCTTGTTTCTGTTTCTTTGTGGTACAAGGTGGTGGAGCCAGGCACATTACTTGCAGTCCCATATCCTGAATGAGGATCACTTTAAAAACAAATATTAGGGCAAGTTCACTGGCTCAAACCTGTAATCCCAGTACTTTGGGGAGGCCAAGGCAGTTGGAGACCAGCCTGGGCAATATGGTGAAACCCTTTCTCTACAAAAAATAAAAAAGTTAGCTGGTCATGGTGGTATACACCTGTAGTCCCAGCTACTCTGGAGGCTGAGGTAGGAGGATTGCTTGAGCCTGGAAGGTGGAGGCTGCAGTGAGCTTAGATCGTGCCACTGCACTTCAGCCTGGGTGACAAAGTGAGACCCTGCCTCAATCAATCAATCTGTAAAATAAATAAATACAAACACATATTAGGAAGAATTAGCATGCTGGCTTATCATTAAAAAACCCAATGAGCCAATTTTATGTGATTCCTGCTAAAGATGGGTGATATAAAATAGTCTTTTGATTAATGTTAGTCTTTCTTTTGCACTCTGAACTGTGAAGACATCACTCTCAATGCATGCATGTTGCTGGTTTTATTTTTTTAACTGACACATAAGCATTATACATATTTATCAGGTTCATTGTGGAGTTTTGATGCGTACAATAGTATTATTAATTCACTGATTTGGTATTGAAACTCTTCCTCATCCATTGATCATGCTTGATGTACTGTTTCTTTTAAAAGATTGCCTTAGTTCCTTAAAAGCAAGTGTGAAAAGATGTTGCTTCTGCTGAGGCTATTTCAGAAGTGCACTTCTGTTTGGGACATGGGTGTTAAGGAATTAGATTACTTCAGCCATCTTTACTGGTGCTATCTGAAATGATACTGAAAAATGCCAGTGCCAAAGGTCACGATATCTAATATGAGTTGTTGCTAAATTTATACATGGTTTATGTCTTTTAGCCACAGTAAGCATATTCTACTTGACAGTTTATATTTGTACCTAGGTAACACTGTTTCATCTAATTTTTTTGGTTTGATTTCTCTCTAATAATTGATCTTACAGAATAGAATAAATAGAAGAGACTTTGCCCCCAAGCAGTCAAGTTATAGGTGGATTTTATTCAGTAAAATCAAGGCAAAATGAAGACCTATTGATTCCTGGGACATTTTGTCATTTTATCGTTCCTACGTTAGACATCCTGATTACCCTAATAGCCAAATGAAATGGATACTAGCAGTTTGAAGTCATTTATAATTTTAACTTGACAAGTTCTGTTGAAAAAAATTCCTACAGGCATATGCAATCGGTGAGTTGCATAAGAAATCCAGCTATGTGCATTTCCTTTCTGCTGATTCCTGTCCCTTTAAGATACTGCCATTAGCATGTGTTTGTGGGGGTAGCAGATGTGATGTAGCCATAGGTACTGGCCAAAGTAAATAAAAAATGAAAGCAAGAATGAGAAGAGGAAACAACCTATTCCAGCCATTGACATAAAATGACCACAGGCCTCCATTAACTCAGCTGTCCTCTCTCAGAAAATATCTGCCTATCAGAACCATTCTAGGGGGGGAGTTTTTCTGACTTCAGTAGTCAAGAAAAGTCTTCCCTTTGAGACACATTAACTGGCTACATTTTTGTTTGTAGAAGCTGAGGCCTTAAACGTGACTAGGTATGCTCCATTTTTCTGCAGAGTGATGCTTAAAGTATTGGCTTGTTACAGGTTGTCTACCTACTGTATTTTTATATTTATTCTAGTTTTCTAAGAAGATCCCAACTGATAAACTGCCTTTTAGTGAGAATAAGTTAGTTTTGAGACCCCAAGATCCTGATGTCCTAGACAGCCACCTACTGACTTTGGTTCTGGCACATTTTGCTATGTTCTTCCATGCTCTTATCTTCTTGGCCCCAGTCTGTGCCCATTTGGTACTCCCAGGACAAAGTTTCTGTGGCTCCCGGGACAAAGCTTCTTCCCTGAAATGCCGGCAGGGGCTATATCTATATTCTAAATACAAATGGATTGAATATAAAAGTTGGTATATTGTTAAAACATGTTTGGTGATGAGACAATGCTATAAGTGTTTAGGTGCCAGGTCAGCTCTTGAAAACCTTTGGATCAGTTCTGTAGTTAAATTACCTTATACATACTAGCAAAGAAAACTATTGTATATACTTTAAAAAATTACCTTATACTTGCAAGGAAAATGATTGTATATACTTCAAAAAATTAATTAAACATAAGACAGATTAAAATTGAATAAGATGTGATTTCACTTACCTTTAATGCAGTTGCTTGAATCAGAGCCACTGTAGGTGGGAGAATAGAGGCCTTCGTGGAGACTGGTGTTTCTGGGAGCGGGTTAGGGGTTAGAGGTGGTAGCAGTTATGCTTTTGTCTCACTTTACTTCATAGTGTAGCTTTTCTTCCTACAAGCATATTGTTAACACTGCTGTTACTTATGTTTATGAATGATGAACAGTGCCCGCTGTTAAGCCAAGTGAATTCTAGATGTTTATTATTTTTATTTTCTAAGGGAAACAGGTCAGATTTAGAAGAGATGGAGGACAGTGAGGGTCGTTATAACTTAAGGAGAGGGTAATTATTATCATTATTCTTTTGGAGCTGGGTGGCCTAAATCTTCAATTCCAACAAGGAGGTTGATGAGGAAAGGCGATGAAGGTTGGCTGACTTCTTTTGCTTGTGTCCACCTACAGGGAAAGAGGTTTGTGGTCACAGATAATATCCACATTTGAGGCCTTCCTCAATTGTGCATCTAAGGGCTTTTAGGGTGGTCTTAGAGTGGCTTCCTCGTCATTTCCTTGTCTTCCTTTCTTTATTTTCCACCCATAGCACGTGGCAGTTTCCACAAAGGCAGCTTGAGTTTTTCTCTCCCCAGACCAGCCATATGCCAAGGAACAGGAGTACTGGGAGATAAGCATTTTACCATTCAATGAAACCAACCCCACTGTGGATGGAACAAGCAGACACCTCTGTGGTGGTGTGGAGATTTTTTAGAGTAAGTTGATTGCGATTCACTATTTATTATAGGTTGGCTTAATAATAAACTTTTACTTACATTAAACTTGGAGGTCATCTTATCCAGTCTAAGGTCTGGTGAAAGGGAAGTAGCACTTCATAGAGGAGCCTCCTTTTTCTATTTCCAGGCTGGTGGGAGAATGGAGTAGATGAAGAGGGAAATTTAAATTAGGAAGAGGGGCCATGGAGTACTTTTAAACAAGTAAACCTTCTTGAGCCACAGAAGTAGAGAGCATTAAAGTCAGAGCTGCATGAGGAGTCCTCAGAAAGATGGAAAGGCCTGAATGGGAGTGACCAGGGAGAATGAAACAAGAATAGGGTGTGAAAGAGTACCGAGATTGAACATAGGGCTACCCTAGTCTTTTTTCTTTACATTATAGTTCAATGGCACTGTTTAAAACTTTTTTTTTTAAGTTAACATTTATTTCATACCTTCCAGGTCCTCACTGGAAAAGTTGATGTGATGATGTGGGCATTTTTTTTTTTTTAACCCCAGTTATGTGGTTGATATGACAAAAATCTATTCAGGTCAGAAGGGTGGTCTTTCTCAGGTAACACATTCTACGTTCCTTCCATGACCTGGTCTGAAGGTGTGGTGGCTTTGTGAGCTGAGGTAAAAACCTGAGAACCACTGACAGCTTTCTCAAAGCCCGGATGTGAAATTTTTTTTGCCACCCCCCCACCCTACCCCCGCACCATAAATAGGCAGGGAGTGGGCTTCAGAACATGGAAATCAAGATCTCTCTTTTTTTTTTTTTTTTTTTTTTTGAGACAGAGTTTCGCTTTTGTTGCCCAGGCTGGAGTGCAGTGGTGTGATCTCAGCTCATTGCAATCTCCACCTCCCCGGTTCAAGCGATTCTCCTGCCTCAGCTTTCCAAGTAGTTGGGATTACAGGCACCCTGATTCTAAGAAGATCATTCCTCCCAAGATCTCTTTTTAATGGGAGGAATGATCTTCTTAGAATCAGGGAAGTGAGAAATTCTCACTGATGCCGTTCATCAGCAACAGAACAGAAAGGCCAAGAGCGTGATCGTTAGAGCAGTCTCTGCGGACTGCCTGCATCCAACACCTAGCAGTACTTTTCTTTTTTTGGGTATGCTTCCTTACCTTTATTTATTTACATGTTTATCCCTTTATTTTTATTCAAT